GCGCATCTCACCTCAGCTCTCCGCGTTGTGGTGAGGCCTATCCACCTTTCGGACATTCTCTCTCTCATTACATTTGATTTATTAGCTTCAGATTTAATTATATTGTATTATAGTGTGTTATCTTGCATTCCGATACTATATTTAGTAAATTAGTTTGTTTCTCCTCAGATCGTTGCTGCTATTTTTAATTATTTTGGGGTCCCCTGTTCCCTTTTTTTCTGGAGGCGCGGATCTGCGGATCCCTCCGCCCCGCTAGTCACGGAACTGGGCCAAACCAGCCCGTAGACTGTTGACAAACTTAAAAAATATAAAATCCAAAACATGACTAAACAGAAAGATAATATACTTCATTCTTTAGTATTAAAAGTCTTCAGAGTTGAGGAATTATTTTGTTAAAATTTAAGCAGAAATCATTTACCTTTTCATAGTTTTCAGAAATGTTACTATATATAAAAACTGCAAGTAAATGAATCAGCAGATCCATAATAAATGGAGTATTGATTAACTTTATTTGGCAAGAATAGAATACAAGCAATCTACAGATAGATTTAAAAGCACAACAATATATATAGTACCAGTTCTATCTGTCAGCTTTAAACCAGCGTTATTATTTACTAAAATTTCTGCTGTTTCAATGTAAGTTCATGATTAGAATGTCTCCATGCCTAAGAGAAGCATTATAATCCAAATACTCAGTGGTTGAGGAAAATAATGAAGTTGGAATATTTTAATAGGTTACGCAGGTAGTGTGACTACTATACATCCTTTCTTCTACTTTCTTCTTTCTTCTAATGAACTGTATTAAATTGTAATTTAACTCATTTCCTGAGGTTTAAATTATTCATCTTAACATTTTTTTTCTATATTCTCAAATTAATTCAATATAAAATATTAATTCTATTCAAAATATGTAAAAATCAGTTTCCAGTTTTTCAGAAATTGAAAATTAACTGATTAATTTAGGTTATTCTAGAAATAATAACTTCATTTCCTGGAGATATGCTTAAGTCCTTGCATGAGTAGTTCTAAGTTCTTCTGAAATCAAGTAGGGAAAGTTACTGTGGCTTCTTTGGCAATATGATTTAAATAAATGCTAATGTTTGAGGAAATTTATCTCATGTCCTTTCTGTTAGCTGGAAGTCAAGAAAGCCAACAGTTCTTTGAAAGATGAGCTTTAGAAGCTGCTAAAGTTTAAATGGTTCTGGGTTCATATTCTTTATTATTTGAGACAGGAATATAGATCATTTAAACATACATGTTAAAGCTGTAATAATTGTGATATCTGAATAATGATCAGTTTCATCTGAAAATCTTACTCCATTTTATAAAGTAAAATTTACTGATCGATTGAAAACAAAGTAAATTTCACACCTTTCCAAACATATCTATAATTATAATACACAGAATACTGCCCCAAATCTATTTTTACCAAGCCACTTAAGACTCCTAGTTTGTTCTTGAGTTCTGACAACTGTTTCCCATTATGATTCAAACAACTACTTCCAAAAATCTCCTTAAGAAGAAACACACGCACACACGCACCAAAAGCAAAACAATAATATTTTGAACAAAATCCTTCAAGACTTTGAAAACATTTCTGACTTTCTGAAAAGCTCTAACTTTTATGCTTTTTCATGACAAAGAGGTTTTATTAAATTTCTCTAAAGAAATGTAACCACATATTCAAACAAATTAAGATAAAATTTGGTATCTACTTGAAACTTACTGCATACAGATAATTGGTCAAAATAGTAAAAGAAATTATTAGTCTTAATTCCACTGCCTAAGGATCACCTTTCTTCTACATTCTGCATAGTTGTTAACCTCTTTGCAATACAGTGGTAGAAGTTCTGTTTTGTTAAAATATAATTTGATGAAATTTTACATTAGTATAATTGATGGAAATTGTAGAATATAAATGGGCTTTGAGTTCAATATTCTCAAATGGGAAATGTATTCCCAAGGTATTTGTCAATCAGTGAGTTTGAAATTTCCTTCAGTGTGGCTTCAATGATTTTATTCATCTATTTGGATACAAACCTATCCAAGATCTCAATTGTTGTTGGAAAAGGTTGTTTTTGGTTTTGTTTTTTTTTTCTCCTATTTCTTGCAGTACTGTAATCCGTGACTCAAATATTTTCTCCCTTAATTACTGTCCAACAGCTGTCTGTCCTCTGCTAAGCTAGAAAAGTAGTCTTCTTTCTTTCTTCCTTTATTCCTTTCTTCCTTCATTATTTTTTATTAGTTCTTTATACAGTGAAGCACAGAGAATTAGCTTAGATCATTGAGTGTCCTTTTAGCAGAGTAAATCTCCACTACCTTATTGCTAAGAGAATAATATCTTTGTTACCATATTTTTCACAGATATATTGTCAGAGAAGGCCTAAAACCAAGGCAAACATCAGAATAGGAAAGCCCAGTACAGATGCCTGTCAGCAACTCTGGCTTGAAGCTATTAAATGTATGTCTGACTTTTATACTTAAATTAATCTTTCAAGTTGACCATTGCCATTAGTCAAACAGAACTTCCTTCCATCAGGTTATTTCCCATTCAAAAAGCTCCTCAGAGCAATAATAAACACATTGGTTTGAAGCCAGATTTTCTATTTTTCTATTTTGAAGGATTGAGAAAGAATGAAATGAAGGAGATTGTTTTGTTTGCTTTATTCCTCTCTAAAAGTCATATTCAGTTTAAATAAGAATATTGTATGTTAGGAAGAAGTATACACTATCACAGTACATCCTTGTAGCTTGATAATCTGTTCTTGTCAAAGTCCGTGGAAATAAAGTGCAGCATTTAGTGATGCACGCATTCACATCATTTTTATGACACTTACAAACCTTTGATCTATTAGTTCACCTATCAGTACAGTGAAAAGGTATTAGTTTCTAAATATATGTAGTTTGAATCTCTCTTTTATTATTAATTAAAAATTCATTTTCCTTCCAGTCACCAGGCTCTTTTTTTGATTCTAATTGACTCTTGCAGAGCAGTAAAAATGTTAACACAAGAAATATGTCATTCTGCAAATAATATTTTGTAATCCATTCGAAGCTTTTTCTTTACTGTGTTTTGTTGTTGGTGGTGGTTGTTGTGATTTTTTTTTTTTTTTTTTTTTCCCCCAGTTCCACTTCATATGAAATGAAACTCACAGTGTGAAAGCATAAGACAAAGAATGATAAATCATTTCCCCATATAAATGTTATATTTAAAATTCTGGCTTAGGTGGTTGGTCACAGGTTTTGTTTATCTGTTAATGGAAAAGAAGAACCACAAGCAAATTTGAATCTGCTAGCTCACCAAAGACTTTGAGATCCATTTCTTCCAAATGATAGCAATTAGAAAAATGTGTATGATAAAAAGCAATTTATGACTGTGTATTCAATAAAAAGTACGAAGCTCAAAAAATCACCGGATGTGGAAAAAAATGCTTAGGAAACTATCCTTGGTATACTATACCCTGAAAATAACATTTTTGTGAACAAAACAGTACCATATTTGTTCTTAATTGTCTTTCATTTTTGGTTGGTTTTGGGCTAAAAATATTGATTTTGTGGAGTAGACTGTATGAATTAGATTTCTGATTATACTCTAAGCAAATCACTTAAGGGATAAAAATTGAACAATTATTAACTAATCTTTTTTCCATGATGACTGCAAGATTCCACCTAATCAAATGAATGTTGTTTAGGACCTGAAATGAGAATCATTTTGTCTGTCATTTTACTGTTACTTTCTAGTCTCTTCTAGTAATAGACATAATTTTTGATGTATTGGAATTTTCTGGGGATCACCAAATGGGCAGTTCAGTCACCCTCTGATATCTTGCGATAGCGAGTTCCCTCTCCTGTAATGCCAAGGAGCACAGCAGTAGACATTGAATGGTTTCAACAGCTTCATGACTGCTAGGATATTTTCCTTTCGTAAAAGTTATTTAGAGAAAAATTATGTTTCTTTTAGGTAGTCTTCTTTCTTGAAGTAGTCACCAGACGGAAATACATATTCTCCTACACAAAATGGAGAATTTAGTAAGCAAAGGTTCAGGTCACAAAGGAGTCCTGATAATGAAACAGACTTGCAGGCCAGTTTGCCAAGAGGGGACTTTTTCAAACTATGTTAGTTGCTGACGAGAGTCAGAGTTATGAGGTGCTATAGATGACATGCTGGGCGATGCAGTGAAGGTGCAGAAAGTTTCCAGCTCCCATCTTAGGAGAAGAGGATCTCACACCTGAATTTAATGATCTGAGCTCAAGAAATTCCTTTTAATTATGGAGAGACCATATTTAGCAATTGTCCAGATGAGGATCCAACAGTACTGAAGAAAGAGTTGTTGTACAGCTGGTCATTCTTTGTAGATTTGCAGGGGTTATTCTTTCTCTGCCAGCCTCTAGATGAAAAGTAATACCATTTCCTACTGAGTGCCTGTGTTTGGATATATGCAAAGCACGAGTTTGTCACATTTGCTTGATGGCAGTGTGTTTTATTATGCTTTCTCATGGAGATGTATGGGAAGTGGCTGGATAACACATGTACTGAAGATGTCAGCTGGTTCAACCAGATGCTGTTTCAGAGCATCAGACAGCTGTGTAGCATATGCTGTGCACTGAATAATCCAGGTGTCTGGACCTTTTTATTTTGACCTCTGGCAGACACACATCTTTTGATTTGTGAAGAAAGAAATGAATAACTCACATTTACCTGGCATTTTCTGATATGTCACTGTAAATAGCAATTTTTTTTTTTTTTTTTTTTTTTTTTTGTCTGTTAGAATCGAGGGGCTTTTCATTGTAGATTCCTCTTTTTTTTTTTTTTTTCCCCACTTTTAACTTTTTTTTTTTAAGATTGTACCTAAGCAACTGAGTATTGAATCCATCAGAGAAACAAGTTTGCATCACCAAGTCAAAATATGTAATAAAATACAGCTTTCTCTTGAAACCAGAGTGCAAAATGAGTCAGCTTTTTTACACTCATATTTTTTTAGTTTAGATGACCCTTCTTGTTTTGCAGAGACAACTCTGTTTTTGCCTGTTAAAAATAAGTTAACAACAAACAAGATCTAAACAAACAGGCAGTGACATTCAAAAAAAGAAGACATGGTCTGAGTGAGTAAAGTGGAGGTAGGCTCACACTGTCCAGGAAGACATCCCTCTGCTTTTCTCATAAACCAGTTAGAAACAGAGAAATGATAGAGCTGTAGGGAACATTAATAGAAATAGCAGCTTTTCAGATGGTCTTCATAAGTGTACCATAGTGTAAGATGTGAGTATAATGTGTATAGCTATATATATGCATAACTGCGCATCCCTTCAGATACAATGCATAGTCAATCTATATTGTATAATTGTTAATGGAGATGTATAACACTTAGTATACATCTCCATTAAAATTAATAGAGACTATTTGTGCAAGTAGTTGTGACAAGTCAGCAACATATTTCAGTTTAGCTAAAGATGTTATATCTAGCAGAACTCCCGACGGGTAGAAAAGGGTGAACATTTATTGAATAAGAAAGCATTCATAAGACTTTTTAATGCAGTTAACCTTCCCTTTACTTTTTATTGTTTCCAGTTTCCTTATACTGATTTATGTCCTTAGTGACTCTCATTTGGTACAAATCAGTTATTTCTTGCTGTAGTTGTAATTTTCCAGGAACCTTGTTGCACATCTTACATATTGGGTGATTTTTCCAAATTGTCTATACACTTCATATTAAAGTCATGCCAGTCAAAGAGCAGGATACATGGGAAATAGATTTCAGGACTTAAAAATATCTTTGCATATCTGTCATTCCACATATCTGTCATGTTGATTTATCTGATGATTTATTCCAAACGCAGTGATTCGTCAGCTTGCAAAATTTTTCTTCATAAGGTAACTCAGCTTGATAACCCAGAAATCTCTGGCTGTTTTCACTAAAAAAGGCATAAGATGTTCCAAAGAATCTTGGGAAACAGCAGGAAATTGTGAACTTTACAACTTTTAACATTTGACTTTGATAGAGTTAGCAATCAAACAGCTTGGATAAATATATGAACTAGTATAACATCTTGAGTTAGCAAAGTGAGGGTGGAAATCTCCATTTTCAAGCTTTCTCAAAACATTTTTATCTCTTTGTTCTGTTTCTGACAGAAAATTGTAAAAGAATGAATTCCATTCATGCAAATGAGAAGGCATCTG